ACTGATGCACAGAAGTTGGATGAGGTAAACATTCAGAAAGGATTTGTATGGAACTCCCTTTTACTAGTAGAACTGCTAATTATATGATTTATGCATAATAGACTTATTTATTCCTAAAAAGCAAAAATTAAAGTTCTTTTTCTTGGATAACTTTTCTATAATTATGTGTATACAAGAGTTATGACCAAATTTGAATGGCTGATTGCAGAACCCTTAAAAAGCTACCTATTTTTATTGTTTGCAGAGCCTTATTATGTCCCATCATCTGTGGATGGGTCCTATTGAAATGGTTATTATCACCTATCTACTCTGGACTATGCTTGGGCCATCCTGCTTTGTTGGCATCTCATTTAGTCTCCTTATGATACCTTTACAATCGTATTTAGGATATGTTTTTGGCAAGTTAAGGTATGAGAACAAACATTGGTTTACCTGTACTATCTTTGTATCAAATGACTATTTTAATAGTCAAAAAACAAAACAACAACAACAACAACAACAACAACAACAACTTGCAGATGACTACAGATGGCCACAACTCCCATTCAAGTGAACTCGATTCCCAACACCACGTTGTTGTCTTATAAAATGCATGCATAAAAACAAAACATGCTTGTAAACTCCTTGATTGTTCTCTAGATTTTCATACCCGCAATTCCATATACAGTCCATCAATGTGACATTTACTACATTCTACACAATAGTTATTTTACAAATGGATGTACATTGTAATATACGTTCGCAAATGTTTTGCCCCATCAAATGAAATAATTTCTATACAACTTCTATACAAGATATTTCTCACTTTAATAGGCTTAAAACTACTGTTCTGTCTGATAAAAGATGTCGTTTGATGAATGAGATAATCGGAGGAATTAAAGTAATAAAGATGTTTGCATGGGAGATTCCCTACTCRGAACTTGTACACAGAGTGAGACGGTAAGTTAGCATAAACAACAAAACAACAGAAAAAATAAACAGCAGTAACAGCAATAGTGGTCCCTTGATTAATTTAAAGGTCATTGAATTGACAAACAACCAAACAACGCCAAATAGTGCCCGGGGGAAGAGGTGGGGGTACTTCCATATATTTGCTATACGGGGACGTGCCGCTGGCCAGGGTATGGTTTTTGGCCTTGCTGTCTTTTAAGGTGTTTCTTAAAAGGTGTTTCGATCGTAATAAATAGCGTTTCGCGTGTATGTTTAAACTACGTCGCAAATTTCGATTCGATTGCACTCAAATTTTCACAGATGTATTAGTGATTATCGATAATTCCTATTGATAAATTGATTTTCCAAAAAAATCGAAGCTATTTGGATAATCGATGCAAAATAAAAACACCTTCATTTTTCTTTAAAGTTGATTTTCTCGAAACTCATCGCAGAGATTGTAATAAAATTTTCAGAGTCATTTCTTAATAGCATAATTGACATACTGACGAATGAAATCTTAACCTAAATTTCCGAGACATTTGACCATTTCAAAATGTTTCTCAAAACGATGAGTCCATGTTTAAAGTCCTCGTTTGTGACAATATTCGAATGTTAAATGAAAAAAAACTACTATAGCTTGAAAGCTTAATCTTTCGTACAACTGTTGTCCCAGGCAAATGCCCAATAGTTTACTACGAAAAAAGTTATTGCCATTTACGCAACTAGTATATTTTAGAAATTTAAACAACTTCATTTTGGAACGTAAAAGAATCTTTCCTCCTTAAAACACTACGCGTTATCGATCATCTCAAACACTGGAAAAAATCGTTCACTTTAAAAGGTTGTAAATTTGATGTAAATAATATGTAAGTGTCCAAAATGTAAATCTGGATTTGCCATCACCCCTTTTCCCCCCGAAAATGATGTACATTTTGTCACGCTGTAAAATTGCAGTTTTGATGGTTGCGGCGTAGATAACGATTCCTTATTTTTCCTATTTGTCTTCAACTTGCTATGGATTTTCACTTTCCAGTGTCTTAAACAGGGTCAGGGTTTTAGACCGCTGGTGGCACGTACCTCCAAAACGGGGACGAGAAGAAGTGGTAATTTTAATGTGTTGCACACTTTCAATGCTTGTACTCTGACTAGTAACACTTCCTGATTGTGCTATTTTTGCCTTACTGCAGGAAGGAGGTGTCAAAGCTCTTGAAGTCCGCTTTCATTAAGGGTGCAGACAGAGGAATAGAGTTTGCTTCACATGGCCTGATGAGCTTTTTAATGTTTACGACATATGTTATGCTAGGGAACACTCTTAATGCTGCTGTCGTGTTTAG